TATTCTTTGAAAATGTTTCAGCACACCAGGTGCTATTACAAATATATACAAATACATTTAAATGTATACGGAATACTCGCAATAATAATATTATATCTAAATCTAATTAATACCCAAATAATATAGCAGTTTAATACTAGTATAACATTCCGCCTAGTATTTTACCATACGTTATGATGTATTATTTATTGTGTTCAACAACAGTGCAGGCATTATAATAATTGATGGTCGTTTCAACGGTAGATAGTCGCTTTATGGTGCTACACAATTTAATGTCTAGAGCTCGGAACTTAATACACTTAAAAATATATTAAAATATAATATACACTTAAATATATAATACTGAATATGTATGCACTTATGCGCTTATAATAGTTCAAATATGCTTTAAAATTATGCACTTATTTTTCTCTATTCACAATTTTCATAAATACAAATATTTTATTAAAAAAATTCTTTGATATTTTATTATTCGTACTAAATATTTATTAATTAAAACAGAAAAATGTATGTCAACTAGGGTTTTGAAAACATTATACCTACAATAATACCTCGTGAAAACCCTCAAAATAAATATACACTATAAAGTATTTATTTTTTTTTTTTAATTGTTACGTTTTCAAAATATATCATAAGGATATCATTAATCATCAAATATGCAATAATATGTAGGTACTTTAAGCTTTAAGTATTTATTTTTTTTTTTTGCAGTGTGTGAAATTCAAGCCTACTACTTAGCTATAAATTTAATTAGTCAAAAAATAACATGCAAATGCAATAACTTCCGAGCCCTAGACTAATATCTAATATTATTATATATATAGGTATACTAATATAGTGTAGAAAAAATCGATCGTGGGCCCCCGCGGGTTCCTTATATGGGATGTGATGGTAAATATATAATATATTATGATCACTGCTTGCGCGGCGGCGGCGAACATAAAAATATAATATTGAGCTACTGCCGTACCATACGTCATATACAATAACGCGCGCGCCCGAACCGTTACCGCCGCGCTGGCCCGTGTTGATAATAATAATAATAATAATAATATATTATATATTATATTTTATATTATTATGTATGACGCGCGCGCGTTCGACGAGAAGTTGTACACGCGAGTTTTCCCTCGCGATGCCGATCATCACGTTATGTATTATATTATATATGTATATGTATGTGTATACAGTATATAACGCGCAAACCCATTGTTGGCGTGTAAATGGCAGCTGCTTAGAAGGCTAATTTTTTTTTTCTAAACCTAGGGGGCCGGTGTAAAAAAACAAAAAAAAAAAAAAAACCCCAAAACGAAACAATAACAACGACAATAGCTCCGATACGACGAGCACACACAATAAGGGAAAATTTCCCCTCTCGCGCCCGGTCCCCCTGCTTCACTCCCCCCACCGTAACCCGGGTTCGCGCAGTCAGTCGACGTGATGATGGCGGCATCGTCATGGCGGCCGCCGTGACGCCGGTACAAGAGCGCTAGCGATGTAGGTAATATTGTATTATTGATATTATCACGAATTATTAGGCGCGGGACTGTTAAAATTCGTGTTTCTACGTTTTCTGAGACGAAAACTCCGTTTTGAACGACGAAAACCTGTTTGAAAAGCATAGCAAAAAAATAATAAATGCCCTGGGCGGTTCCTTTTACACACTCTCAGTGTATGTGTATATATGCGGAAATAATTATTATAATCGCGTTCCTCGCATCACCGCGCGCTGTTTGCCGTGAAGTCGGTCTCCCGTTTTTTTTTCCTCGTGATTATTCATCACGTTCGACTGCCCGTGGATATCGAGCAAAATATACTCGTGTATCTATAAAAATATATTGTTTACTGCAGCTGGCAGGTACACGATTGTGAAATTACGACTGTAAGCACAAAGCTTTGGTTTCCAGCGTTTTTTCCCCTCTTTTACATTGTATATCGAGAGAAACTATGGAATATTTAAGTAGGACCGCATTCACGGTTATATATATATTGTATTGCGCGTATATATTCCACCCGTTCGGCGCGCTCATTATTTATTGATGGAGTAAAGTGTACGCAAGAAACGCGCGGCTCCTGAATCTCGGGTTAGAAATCCCTCTGTCCCTCACGGACGAAGACACGAGTCTATATTTAATGGGAAGTAGGTGTACAAGTCTGCATTATATCTAGTCAATATATGGGTATAATTTAAAGGTATAGATTAACTACATGGTTTATGCAGAAATGCTTTACGCGTCCTGTAATCACAACTATCTGCCTTATTGTATGTTTATTACAGACGCCATCTGTTAAAAATCGATTATAAAATTATCTTATAGTATTATATTTATAAAAAATTAAGTCGTCGGTAAGCATTTACAAGCATTACAATATCATAAAAAATTGACAAATAATGATCAATTAAATATATTGCTTTACATTGCAATGGTAAACAGTTTTGGTCTTTAGGTTGTAGTAACAATAATGTAGTGTTGTTTATGATAACGGTCTCTAATTTTGCCACGATACAAATAATGCACTAAAAAAAGTATTAAAATATTCGCACAAACCATGAACTAGGTTTCTGAATATTCGATTAATAAATATAAAGATATTGCCGCATGTATAATATACCTAAACATATTAAATTTTTTACACTTCGCCAATATCGACAGCAGTAATTAATTTTTCGTAATGGCCAATATGAGCAACTGTAAAGTTAATGTTTATAATCTGAAATCACAAATGACGATTCATTTCATCTTAAACTCAATTCTTAATAATATATATGATAGGTACATCATACATGCATGATATGATATCTAAATCTCCACAGCGATGATATTTTTTGAAACATATTTCTTCAATCCGCAACGGTCGCCGTCGTTAACTTCGTAATGTACATTGCATAAAAAAATTTCACGTTATCAAAGTTTGATAACAATCGTATTTTCTGTGTTTGCTGTACTCTCGAAATTTATAGGTAAAATGCTCGAGCCACTGCGATAAGCAGCATTGATACTTGAGTTACTATCAAAAACACCGAGAATTGTTAATACCAATTGTTGACACATCACAAACATATACTATATAAAACACTTGAATACGCTACGATTTTCCAATCGAATGTAGTATATATGTATAATATGTAAATGTAGGTAAATAACTATGTCTAAAATATTATTTAATAAAATATACAATATGTACATTATAGAACCTACAGCTATTTCGTAATGTTTTTCTATTTTTTAACAAGACTTATTATTTATTACAATAGGTTTAATATTAAAGTGAACGTTTAAAAATAATGAATCATTTTAAGCTTTTTAAATACGACGTAAAAATGAATTATTTTGTATTTTTTTTTTAAATATTTAGCAAATCTTAATATACCTACCTAAATTTTATTTTCGAACCCGTGGTTAAGATTGTCAAATTAATCTTAAAATTACCGCACCGGAAACCTGTAACAGTGTAAGAAAAAACAGTTTAAAAGAACCCTTTTCGTCCCGAGACCACAAAACGCCTTGCCAAATCGTTTCCGATTACATTGATGTCCTATATAGCATTTATGCCGGCGACGTTGTCGCCGCAGGTGAGACCGATCCCGTAGCACGTATAACAAAAACGCGTGACACGCCAATAGCTGGACACTGGAATCTTATTGTACATCATAATACAGACGGAGCGCGCGCCCGCGTTAAAATCAAATAAAAATCTCTTTATTATTTTTTCCAAATATGCATTCCGAGAAGGTCCACACCAGTGACAGGTACTCGTATTGGCGCGGGACAATGGCCCCGAGTCGCCCCTGTGAATTTGTAGTGTTTTTTCGTGATAATAACGTAGTCTCCTACAATATACGTGTGCGGAGACGTTTCTCGCAGCAACCGCCCCCTCGTCGACGATTTCATTTCATTTTGACGACGATATAATCGCGACGATGATGTACATCCGACACATCGGACAGCGACGGACACGTTCTAAACGTTTCGGACTGAACAAATATCGTGTGCAGTGTGCACACAATCGACCGGGACATACATATTATATTATATTTCATTTTAATGTATTATTGGTACGCACGCGTTTTATGTATTACATCAAGTAGCCGAGAACGTGGTTACCTATATGTAATTACATATACCTATCATATGTAGACATAATTATTGCTATCGTCGAGTCGCGGCTTAACCGCGATAATTACTGGTGTGGTGTCCACTCGCCGGCGGTCTGCTCGGCGTGTAGTGTGTGCCTATATAACATATATCCGTCATCGAATTATATGTATTAATAATTATTCTATCATACCCATGTGCATTAAGGACTATATATATTACTGTGTACCATAATCGTACGGCACTCGACTGCGATCGCTCTCATTGACGTCATCGTACAGCGATTGACGTACGTGTTTATTGTATTATACCTGCACGGGCACCATAACAATATTATACACAACGATATTATAATGTACGAGTACACAGTGGTTGTACGATCGTATTAGTGTATTGTAGTTGTGTAGTACCTACAGTTGTAAATCTAGTAGGTATATAATAATAGTAGTGTAATGCCTACATAATCGCTGAGTGCCTATGTAGCACGAGTACTCGACTTTTATACTCGACAGCGCAAGATGTCTACACGACGGTTTATACCAGCTAACTGCTACGCAGACACACCGTCCCGTCTACAGAGCGTTGCGAGCATAATAATATTATCGTCATCGTCGCGGTCGTCGGTTGATCGTATATAATAATAATATACGGTATTGCGGTGAGTCGAAAAATCCCAAATATGTGAATGCATAATATTATGTCTTCTATGACTTTTGATTACTATCGCGGCGGCGCGGATGAAATTCGACTACCGTCTGAGCGCGGCGTAGTCCATTATCGCTCGACGTAGGGACGCGTAAACGCGTTTCAAATCGGGGCGTCGTCTCTGCCACAGAATCTGCGATAGGATCGAAACATACCCATATTATACTAACAGTTTTTTTTCTTTTTTTTCTGTTACAGGTGTCATCGACATCTTATGTGGCCAAATAGCCTGTCATCTGGGTAAGTTTTGTACAGTTGAATTAAATATTATTTTTTCTATCTGTGTATTTCATATACAAACAACGTACCCCTCTTAGCCCAAACTATATATATATATGTATATGCACGCCTATTGCTTACGATGGTATACAAAGTACCTATCGACCGTATTCGTCATGCGTTGAAATTTTCATTATTTTACGCGCACCTAAACGTTTAACGACGATATCGGTGGCAAGTGCGACACTCGCGGCGCGGTCGATTTGGTGCTGTCCGTAAGTATATAACTTCATTGAATATAAGCGTTAGTATATGTATTATGTGTATCGTCGATTGTTCGGTCTTGTTTAGCACATATACGACGTATTAGCGCAGAATCCGGTATATTATTATATCATGTTGTGTAGTACAAACGTTCACCTCCCATTGACTATTGTACTGCTCGCGACATAATAACAACAATAATAATTATTATGGTCGGCGGTGACCATAAGAGCAGTGCGTATTATACCTAAATGTGGTGGTAGGTACGATTTTTCCCTTTCGTACGTAAATAGGCATGACGATATTTTCGTTGTAAACATTCGATTTTTAAATTTCTCCCGTTGTGTCTCAAGTTTATTCTCTCAAAACCCCAGTACCGACGCACTCTTGTTATTTTACTGTCCCCGTGGTAATGTGTTACCTTACACATCGCCATTGTCGGTTACATATAATAAAATATAAAATATTATTATTATTGATCGTATGTAAAAGACGCATTTCGTTCAAACCTGAGTGTTTTTCAAATAATAATAATAATGATGATAATACATATACCAATAATAGTAATAATAATAATAATAATAATAAACGTAAACTCAGGTTTATTGTCATTCATCGTGCTGGTACGTGCTCTGTACAAAAAAAACCGTCGTCAGAGATTCGGACGATCGGTCCTTTTTACAACAATAATATAACAATATAATATATTATAATATATAGTGTGACAATGAAAATACCACGCCACTAGGTCTAGGACCCGAGCCATCCCAACAGTACAATTATATCATATCGCGTACTAACATATTGTATGTTATAATAACATGTTTATGTACTACGGCAGACTGCGCGACGACAATTCCTAAATATCAAGTACAATTTACTAAGAACGAGTCAAAGAAATTCCAAGATTCCTGATTTTTGAACCCATTTAATTTGGTTTCATGTTTGTCGGGACTTCAAAAACCTTATTCATTTTAAGTAATCATTATAAAATCTATAGAATTGATTTTCTTGGAAATTCGGTACTTCAAAACATTATTATAATATTGAAGTCGTCAAAGAAAAGCCATATAATAACCATAATTAAAACAAAAATAAAACTAGAAAAACTTTAAGACGGTTTTTACGATAAAATATTAGTGTGAATTATGATCATTTTTATATTTTAGTATTTTACATACACATAAATGACTTAAAATTAAAATATCGTGAAAACAATTGAGAGATAACAGTGTTCTCACTTTTAAGTTTGGCCATGTGTCAATTCATACTAGTTAATGTTAAAGCTAGCAATATAAAATCGGTTCTGCAGAATGCAAATTTTGTAGGTGGTACGTTTCTTAGATTGGAGACAACACGTGTGGGTGTAGTGTCCTCTTAAGGTACTATTGTGAAATGATTCCTAAATTATATTAAGCTTTTTAATTGTTTTATTGGGACGATTATGTTCTATGACCACAATCTTTCAAGTTGGAATTATGGTATTAATTATTGCTGTCTACGTTGTCAGGAGAGACAAACCAATTTAAAGAACTAGCTGCTGACCTCGTGATGTCTGAGTTCCGCGTGTACGTAAAAGATATTTCGTAACGTTAAAATGTTTAAGTTTATTAAAAAACGGTCCCTATTCGAAATTAACTTAATTCGTTTTCGAATTGCCGAGAACCGCTGAAAAGAAATCTAAGGAAAACAAAGGGCTCTAACATCAGATAGCAAACGAAAAGAATTATGTGTAACTTTTTCCACGCTACAGTTTTTGTGTTCAAATCGTATGACTGAATCCCACATACGAAGAAAAACATTATACTTCAAATGACAATAATAACGCCTTCAAGCGGCTACGGATATAGATAATCACGGCCTGCACCATGACACATGGCACGTATTTATAATATATAGCGCCGGTCTATTTGTCGGCGAGCTTATTCTCGCTCTATATATACGAGTATGTGTGCGTGTGTGTGTGTAAGTCACAAGTGTAATAATGATGCGCAGGTAATAGGTAACCTACCCAACAGTTCCGGTGGTCGTAAAAAACTAACACATATGCACATAATATGCGCTTAACTATTGTAGTACGATTTGACTATACATATAATATAAAATAATATAAACACACATACACACACGCACGCACACACATTATACCGTAATTTCTCCGCAGTAAACTATAGCACACACAACGGGCGCGTGGGTGTTCGTGGCGGGGACCTTGTCTCTAGAAGAAAAAGAAAAAAAAGGAGAAGATGAAAAAAGACGATTTCACCGATCGACCGTTTGTTGTCCGGATGCTAACAGCGCCGTAGGTCCCCGAGCCCCCGATTACTATACCTGTACATAGTCTACAAGTAAAAATATACCTATACGATATAGTTATATTATTATATAGCGTGTATGAGTTGTTATACCTATTGCATACACCGTTTTGTCGAAAGAGTACGACTGTTGCCACGGCACACAACATAGACGCGGACGGGGCCCTTACCCGCCGGCAACCGAATACCGGAAAAGACACGTACGCGTTCGCCGCTAACAATGACCACCGCACACGCACACAACTATATGTTTGTTCGGTCGTCCGTTCATTATAATATTATATTATTATACATATACACATGTCGTATATATGCATATATATATATATAATATTATATCCAAAATGTATATCATACGCATACCCGACTTGTGTCGGCCATTGAGAAGTATTGCGTACGGTTAAGGTATAGAGGTATGAGTATATACTTGCCGTGTAATAATATTGTCTGTAATGAACATAACATTATATGCAGTGCGACGGTCGCCCTCGCTTTTCGTTCGTGCAGACACGTTGGCGCGACAGTTCTAGACTCGTAATACTGAGCGTTCAGAAGTGTCCCGTTTGTATAATATATTATTATATCGTAAAAAATAATATGCATTAAAAATCAAAATCTGTATGCACCTGATCGTTGTCATTGATGAGTTCCTCGTTTCCGATCTAATATTAATATATTTTTACCTATCAGTTTTTTTCTAGTTCGTTTCTACGAGGTCTGTTCCTTACATAATATCGTAATGCAATCGTGCACAATTAATTTATTGATTACTCGTTATATATTTAACTTTTCACGTACATACACTCGATTGATTGTGATACCTTTATTATATTATAATGTTAAACTATCTTAAAATTAAGATTTTGTTAAGATAACTCAATTTTTTCAAGCACTTAAATAATAACAACAATAATTATACACTAAATAGCGAGTTCTCTACTCAGACAATTTATTAACATTTAAAGTACCAATTAATTTTAAATAATCATAAAAAAATATATTTTAAATTATGACATAACGTATTTAAAGCATATTTTGTAAGAAAATGCATTCTTTTTAGCTTATTGAAGAACATAACTTTTTAACACAATTTTTTAATTAGGTACCATGAATTAAATTTTAAAACCTTTATTCCAAAATAATAAAAAATATGATATAACTATTCCTCGTTTCGATGTTTATTATTTATTAATTAAAACAATTTACATATATTTTATAAATCATTTTTTTATTCATCATATAAATATTTTACACGTTTTGTTTAATAGGTACTTATCTGGTATACATTGTAACGTTGTACTGTTTAATTAATATATGTTTATTTTGAAATATTTTACATATGCTGTATAAATTTTTAATGCTTACTAATTATTTTATTATTTGTAAACACCTACCTGTAAATAAATAAAATGATTTTTTATGTTTTTTTAAACTAACTAAAATAATTAGGCAGTAATATAGTTTTTTTTCTTTTCGATAAAACTTGATAGATCTTTATAATTTTTGAAACGTAATTTTTAGATTACTATATAGGTTTACTTACCGATTATTTAAACTACAATTATAATATTAGCAATTGATATTAGGTAGGAATTTAAGTAAAACAAATTGTAACTATACCAGATTTATTTTACTCGGGTATACATAATAATTTTATCTATTTCGCAATCGTTTTTTATGCGTTTATTATCTTTATTATTTTCATTAACTAATACCTACTATAATCATCTGCAATGAGTGTTTTACGATTTTATTAATTTTGTACACGAAAGCTCCGTTATTTAATATATCAATAATAAAAATATTAAAATGACTGTATTAAAAAAACAAACAACAGCGACAATGTACACTTAAATGTTAACAATCTTAGTATTTACACCGTTATATATTATAGTGTATATGATATCCTAATATCTGTGACTGTAACAATGATGGTATAAATTATAAATACAACACAAAATCATATAATATTTTTACGATAAAATCGGCCGCGCTAATCCATATCGGAGGATATAAAGATGTGTTTTCAAACTAAGCCCGATTTGGATTATGCGCAAAAAACGGTCTTTACTAATGATTTGTACCTGTATGATATTATATATTCTTAGTTTAATTTTGTTTTAATATATTATATTGTTTTATGCATGGTTTAAGTAAGCAGTACAACACAATAAATAAGTAATTTTAATTTAAATCTAATGATTATTAGTGAAATAAACATAAAATTGAAACGTAGAATGATAATTGGTAGCTTTTCTCAATTTGAAGGTCAACTTATCTTATCCAAGTCTGTGTTGCACTTGAAACCTGACGGAGTTTCTCTATCGGACCGTATAAAACCAGGATCGGTTAAAATCTTATGACGTGTATTCCATTGTTTGTATAAACTGCATTTGGAAGAATCTCTCATACCCCACGCGCTTAAAGAATTTCTCAACGTCTTCTGAATATATTATGATACCTACTCTATTTTTATTGGCAGTGTTTTAATGTTTTAAGTACCGCTTCGAATAATTTACATTCAAGTGCTTTATTATAGCAATCTACCTATATATGTACATAATTATAAAATCAGTTATTTTTTTACTATTGTACAATACTATGCGTACATGTTTTATTATAAACAATTACTCAGGTTAAATAAGTAATATTACTCAATTACATACCTTAAATGTATACTCTTTTTAATTACACGAGTAAAGATGAATTATTCGCTCAATGCATTGTCATTACCATTGGTCAATAGTCTCGTTATTGTATCAAATATGCTGGCACGATATAAACACATTCAACAAATTGCGCAATAAAAATATAAAATCAACTGAAGAACTTCCATTATAGCATAAAATATTTTCGGTAAACCAGAAGAAAAGTGTAAGAAAACTGCACGATAAATATGCACGTATACTAGGAGTCGAAATGACAAATTATTCGAAGGAAAATTATCAACCAGCTATTTTACACGCGTCTGATATTAAAAGGCAGACGTGCACATCGCTTTAAGCGTTTGATAGATTGAAAATTATTCAATATCAAAGTGGAGATAATTGAAGAATATTTCTTCATTCCAATTAGAAATATGGACGTACCAAATAAATATGGGAAGCATCTTGCATTGACGAGAAATGAGTTATCTATTATAGTTACGATTTTACGAATCAATAACGGATTTGAGAAGCGCTCGACGTAATTCAGATCTCAGATTATATAATTTAGTTCAGAACTACAAATTTAAACAAAATGTTAAAATAAAGTTGCATGTATATCATAGTTGTAGGTGACTATAATCAATAATTTTATTATTATTAGATACCGATATAGTTGTTTAAGTAGATAACTTTGATACGATCTTCATAAATTGTATTAATTCGAGACGTAAGTTTATTATATATATATGTTTGTGTGTGTATATCAAGCGTTTTACACATCATATAATACATTAATACTTATGCATATGCGTGCGTTTATACTGCAGTGTTATGTAAATGTTTCGATGCACCCTTTTATATTTCATACGGTTTATATAATATATATAAATTTCGTCGAGCCTTTTTACGTATTTTTTCAACGACACTAAAACCATCAACGCCTTTACTTCGCAAGTGCCACCGCTACGATATTTTATTATATTGTAATAATATGTTGTTTTATTTTTCGTTTTTATCTTTTAAATTTCTTTTTTCCGTACCGTAATCGTAATTATCATTGACTACCTATATTATCTATTATTTTTATTGTAAAAGCACTGGTTTTTATTAATCGTTTGCTTTTCGCATTTTTTTTTCTGTTTTTCTTTCCACTCGAACAGATGCAGCCAGGAGAGCGGCGGGGAGTTGGGCGGTTTCCCTGCTACTGCCGCGGCCGCAGCGTTTGCCGCCGCGGGTGGCTCTGGCGGCGCGCCGCCGTCACTAGGCTCGTCCATGCAGGCCGCCGCCGCTGCGTACCATCTCAAGACTTCAGCGGCGTCTTCGCCGTACGCCGCTGTCAACAGCATCGGGCTGATGGACTCGCTGCAGACCAGCATGGGCTGTTACCCGACAGCAGCTAGCCAGAACTACCACCATCATCATTCCACCACGTTGTCCCTGTTCAATCACCGTAAGCAAAATATCAATATCGATTAAATATTAAATTACTGTGTGTACCAGGACAGAGGACTAATAGACTTTAAAAAAATAAATATTAGATGTGGAAGCATTACATTTAAAAATCATTTAATATGTATTTGAATCTCTAATCGAATTTTTATTTTTATTGATCATAAAAATAGTCAATAAATGTTATTGATCGATTTATTAACTACCTAATTTGGCGTTTCATTTTTATACATGGTGTGCTGGAGTACACCCAACAATGTACGGGTGCATTTAAATTAATTAATTAAGGAATGTCGTTAGGATAATAAACGTTACTAAAAAAAAGTGCAATACAAAATTTCAAAACGAAGAACTATAGTCAAATAACAAAAATATGCCTAAATTTGTCTCAAAAATAAAAATATGTAACATAAAATAATTACAGATTAGGATTTATTGTAATATGAAACAAATTTGTATCCAGTTGGCTATTTTTTATGATAGTGCGAAACAAATATGAAAATACTAAAAGTCCTCTGTTCTACCGTATATACTCGTACATTACTGCGACATGTCCGCATTGTTTATAGTAACCATTTCACGCAAAAAATAACCACTCAGGTTTGTATAACAACTTTTTTTATATTGATTATATCAAGAGAATAAAATCGATCTGACATGGGAATTATTGTATTATGTAACAACCACGCATACATTTTGTTTCTTAACTAAGACTGTGAAGCTCGAGTGTGGTTCTTATTCGCGTGAAATGGTTTTTATAAACTATTTATGAGTGTAGTGTGGCACATTAAGTTCATGGTGATTAAAGTATAATGTACAGCTTAAACACCATGTAATATACGCACAGCGCAGTAGTCGGTTCATCGCATTTTCCCAGTACACCATTATTATGGGAAAACGCGTTATTACCTACATCCTGTATTGAATTTAGGTAGGTGATCGGGTTTCCCGCCCTGTAAGTGTAAGTGTGTCTTATGTACTCGTAACTATGATGTTGGAAAATAAAACAATGGTTTGAGTTTTGTAAGAATTATATCAATAATTTAAAATTAATAAATGTTGATAAATATACAATACCCATTATCTTTATTCATTGCCTAAAATATGCTATGTATAGTACGCATATTTGGTCATCTAATAATATAATAGTAACAAAAAATTTATTTTATAATTAATAAAAATAATAAATCATGGATATTGAACAATGATAGTTCAATTTATATTTTTTAATAATGAAATACGGTTAATTTCATCTACTAATTTTTGCGATGGTCAAATTTATGTTATTTTAACAATTAATATACAATAATATATAATTTTAATTACTGTAGCATCGACTATTAACGAATTCAATGAATGCATATTTATTTTATTAAATGAATGAATATTTAAAAGAGAAATTTATTAATTATAAATTATTGATGATGATATTTAATTCTCATCGGTCAATCAGGGTTTTTTTCCAACTCATAGTAGATTACACTATATAAAACAAAAACACCAAACAGTATAATAATGGATTATTAAAATATGATTTTCGTCATAATGATTAACGAATAACTTTTGATAGAGGAAATCATATTCGTATGGTATAAAATTCTATTTTCCTTCATGTTATATATGTACTAATATAACTAATTAAATGTCATACGCGTTCTTATGTATTTCAAATTTTAATGTTTACTACAATATAGATCAAAATATAGTTTAAATCTAAACACTCATACGATCATACAGGTAGATATGTTAGAAGATAGACATGTTCGAAATGATATTATCCTTTTCAATACTGTCAAACAGATTGTACTTTAAGAATGACCAAAGACCATCACTTTCCGAGTGCACAATTGTACTTTTTTTTCTGAGGATCAACGAAGAAATAAACCTTAGTGTCTACTCGCCCCTGCTCTACATCATATTTAGTATATTGTATACATTTTACTGTTCCATTAACGGTTATTGTTGAACGGTTTACTAATACAAATATAGCGACTTGTGTTGTTCCGACCTGAATAGACTTATTGAATGGTAGGTATACCTACCACTGTTTTATAATATTTCATACCGTGACACCTTGTAAGCAATAATAATGGTGTATTTTTATTTTACATGAATCTAATTCAAAAAAAAATCTTTTATAAATAACATGAAGAAAAAATGATGTGTGGCTCGGAACAGTAGAAAAGATTTCCCCTTTTATCACTGCATTATATGATATGTGTACCCGCGCAGCATCACATCATCTCTGGTAGATTCCTTCTTTACCTTCGACGTATAGTATATATCTATAATGATATAATTCGGGTGTGCCAAATTGCTAAATATTTTTACGCCCCGTGATCAAAATGTAGAACCCCGACTATTACTATATATAATATGATACAATAACGGGAATGGCTTACGGTAGGGATTATAATATGATAATAATAATGGGTATATTATAGTTTGTGTGTGTGACGTACTAATGTGCGGTAGTGTATATTTGTATATGTGTGTGTGTGTGTGTGTGTGTGTGTGTGTGTGTGTGTGTGTGTGT